GCAAGGCCCTGCTCCCAGGGAGCCATTCCCTGCCATCCCCACCGTGAGCGCCAGCTCTCCCCGGGGTAACGAGCAGCGGCTTGGAAGCAGCCAGGCCTGGGTTTGAATCCAATTTCTCCATTCATGGGCCGAGGAACTCAGTCTCTGCTTCTCGCTCCCTCTCCTGTTGGGAATGCTGTGGGCACTCCTGCTGCAGCCCCACCACACTTCTCCATGCTGTGCACCTCGCTGCCTCTTTGACCATGCCGGCCCCCTCCCCTTGGTGTGCCAGCCCTCCCTTCCTCGCCAGACTGTAGCCTTCCCAAGCCCACTCCTTGTCAAAGCCCCAGTGATCAGCAGTGTAACTGCCACCATCCTAATAGCGCCCATTCCTTCATGCCTCCTGTGTGCAAGCTCCATAGTACTGCACATCCATTGTCACTAATAGTCCTGGGAGGTATTCTCTTATGCTCATTCTACTGACCAAGGAATTGCATGTCGGGGCCAGCGTTGTGGTGTAGTGGGTTAAGCCTCTGTCCACAATGCCAGCATCCCAATGGGGCTCAGGTTCAACTCCTGGCTCCTCCACTTCTGAATCAGCTCCCTGCTAATGTGCCTGAGAAAGCAGCAGAAGATGACACAAGTGCTTGGGCTCCTGCACCCATGTGGGAGACCTGGACAGAATTCTAGGTTCCTGGCTTCGGTCTGGCCTGGTCTCAACTGTTATGGCCATTTTGGGAGTGAACCAACGCATATAAGATCTCTCTGTATTCACCCCCCCCCCTTTTCTCTACCTCTGCCTTTCAAAGAAAATAAAAATAATAAATATTTAAAAAATGAAGGAAGGAAGGAAGGAAGCAAGGAAGGAAGGAAGGAAAGAAAAGAAATTGCATGTCCAAGAAGCTAAACAAGTTCCCTAGGGTAACCCAGCCAAGTTCACAAGTTAGCGAATCTGGGTTCAAAGCCAGGATTTTCCAACTCTCTTATTGCCAAGTCTCTCCTCTGCCCTGGAGAGACAGCTTTGCAACATGAGGGACAAGTGACTTCCTAGAGTGAACCAGCTGAAGCACGATGTCATGAGACAAGTGAGTGAAGTTAAAAGTGATGGCGCCAGTGCTGTGGCATAGCAGGTAAAGCTGCCACCTGCGGTGCCGGCATCCCAAATGGGCACTGGTTCAAGTCCCAGCTGCTCCTCTTCCAATCCAGCTCTCTGATGTGGCCTGGGAAAGCAGTAGAAGATGGCCCAAGTCCTTGCGCCCCTGCACCCATGTAGGAGATCCAGAAGAAGCTCCTGGCTGCTGGTTTCAGATCAGCCCAGCTCTGGCCACTGGGGAGTGAACCAGCGGATGGAAGACCTGTGTGTGTGTGTGTGTGTGTGTGTGTGTGTCTGACTCTCTGTAACTCTGTCTTTCAAATAAATAAATAAATCTTAAAAAAAAAAAAGTGACTGACTGGCAGACAGCAGGTGTGGAGAAGCAGAGAAGGGGCTTCACCTGAGGGACTGGATGAGCCCGTGGCTGAATCCCCAACCTCGGAAGTCGCCCGGTTCCAACAAGGTGTGAGCGTCACAGAGCAGGGCTCAGGATGGGTGCAGAGTCTGGTGAGGGCGCGAGACCCGGGCCTCTGCTGGGGGCTGTGCACAATACAGTGAGCCCTCCGAGACTGGAGGAAAAGGCAGAGGAAGTTGCAGGACAGAGACGCAGTTCGCCAAACCCAGCACTTTTCTCGCTGCCTATTAATTAAACAAATCCCAGGAAGGATGCCAAGCCAATAAATCAGGAAGGGGAGGCTGGGATGTTGACAGTTCCTAATTAGGCCAGGAACCGTGAGCTGTGGTGAGTTGTTGGTGGGCAAGCGCTCCAGCACGTGGTTCTTCCCCACCTGCCTGTCATTCTGTGGTTTCCACAGCTTAGCCAGCACCTAGGCTACCGCACCTCCCATCCTCCATACTGGCAGCTGCTGCTGGCCTCACTGGAGCCTTGGAGGCCAGCGCTGAGCAGCTCACACCAGAGAGGGTGGCGGGTGTCAGGGGGCACCCAGGGAGGGGCGAGGATGAGGGAGACGAAGACCTTCCCACCTTCCTGCGTGTTTCTAGAACGTCTCACAACTTTGGAAGCAGCATGATATGGAGGCAATGAGTGTGGGTGTTGGCATCACATCATCAGACTTAGACTCCCGGGCTGCAGAATGGTTAACAGTCCTGACTTTGGCCCAGCAGAACTGGAATTAAATTACTGCTGTGTGCTCCTGAGCAAGTTGCTTCACTTCTCTGAGTCTCCCTTCCTTCTGCAAACAACAGGGATGAGAACAGCATTCAGGGAAGGCAACTGTGGCCTGGACCGAATCGCACGGTGAAAGCAGGGGGCATAGCACAGCGCTGGCCCAGAGCAAGCATGTGAAGTGTGCTTGTGCTGGGTGTCACTGACCTGGCACCCCCCGCTGCCTGCTAGAACAGGGAGAAACACCTCCCGTAGATGGCCACACAGTCACTATGCTCAGCTTTGGGGACACAGTGATGCTGCACTGACTCAGCCATGCTGTTGTGGAGTGAGAGTGGCTACACACGACCAAACAGGCAGCAGGCTGAGTGTGACCCACAGGCCATTCCATGGGACATACTGGGCTAGAAGTTGAGCTCCAGGAGATAAGGGGTTTGGCCTGATCTGTTCACTGCTGTATTCCAAGCACCTTAATGATACCTGGCAAACGGCAGATCCTTAATAAATATTTGAATATTTGCTGAGTGGTCGAATGCCATGCTGTGTGATGCTGTGGAAGCAGCTATTTTACTTCTCTGGGCCTCCATTTCTTCATCTGTGCGATGAGGATGCTTTCGAGCTTGAGACAAGCATCCAGTTAGACCAGCGTACTTGTGGAGTCCCTGTGACGGTGCTGCCACTGCAGGAGAGTGTAGTTCTGCCCATGAGCCCTTCTCGGGGAGTTCTACTGCTGCTCAGAGCCCAGCACAGGGGAGACGTTACAGGCCCCCTGTCTGACCTGCAGGAGGGGGTGCCCAGATGGACCGCTATCCCCTATGCCGCAGGTGCTCTGACACACAAGTGCAGGGACACATTCAGTGTTCTCAGAATGTGAACAGCAAGGCAGCAGAACAGGCTGGGCCCCAACTTGGCTCCAGCACTTACTAAGTGATTTTAGGAAGTTGCTTTTCAGTTTCTTTGTCTTTAAGATGGAGCTATTCAGAGTGCTTGCCTTACAAGGTTCTGGTGCATTAACCAAGGGATGTGTGTACTAGGTTGCCTCAGCACCTGCACAGGGTAAGCCCTAGACAAAGAGCATCCTTGCCTCCTCTTGTCCAGCTGAGCAGAGCCCAACTCTCAGGCCACGGCCAGCCTGTCTGGCCTGAGATGCAACCGGAGTTTGGAGCCGCAGCTGAAAGGTGGAAGGAAAAATCGCCTCCAGTTGTCCCAGCTGCACAGATTTTCAGATCTAAACAAAAAAAGCCCTACTTGTTTTTCTTCCCTGAATTTAAAACTTCCTGCTGTTCTGAAAATGCATGAAAGCAAGTGACCCACTGCCTTTGGAGGGCTGGTGATACCAAGCCCCCGCCCTTTCCTCCTTCCATTCATCGCGCCCACCAGAAACACACTGATTGGCCATTTGGCCTTTTTCCAAGGAGGAAGTTTTAAGGGAGAAGAGAAGAAACGTCAGCACATAACACTGAAGGTGCTCACTGCATGCCCATCACTGGACTCCCCCTGCCCAGGTCTCTCTGTCTCCTCTAGGTCCCCATCTAAGAAGGCACACTCATTTGCATGTCTGTGCTCACAGAGTCCACTGGAACCCAGAGAAGCACAATTGGTTTCAGTCTCAGGAGACCTGGGTCTGGATTCTGGCTGTTGAAATTTGTAGCTACACGACCTTGAGCACATCACTTCACTCCTTGGCGCACACTTACCCATTGTTCAACAGTACCAGGGCATCAGTACTGACCTCCTACTGCCAAACCCAGTGCTCACAGCAACTGAAGGTGAAGGCTCCCAACCCTGTGGGAAGGGGGCATTGTCCAGAGGGCTGGCTCAGGCTCCTATGCTATCATGCTGTGCACCCTTAGACAAATTGCTTCCCCATTCTGAACCACAGACTGTCATCAGTAAGATGAGCAAACTCCCCATCCACCCTTGGCTGACAGTCTCTCTGAGTCATGATCCCAGGACCCTGTCCCAGTGTAGCTGGAAAGAGACAGGGTGGAAAATAGGATGATCACTTGTCTAGGAGCCCAGACCAATGCGAAGAAGCTAGGAGTAGAACGGGGGATATCTGGGCGGCCAGCACCAAACTTCTGGACACAGAAACAAAGGAAAGGGGACAGTCTGCTTGCCCCATTCCCACCCAGAGCAACGCACAAGAGCAGCCAGAGCACCTACACAGGACCCCATCGGCACCACAACTGTCTTAAGACACACCCAGCCTGCCTGCTTCTCCCCCATAGGTTTTCATCCTCTTTCCTGGAAACTTGGTGGGAAATTCCAAAACATCAGCCCCGGCTTCCCCCACCCCAGACAGGCCCATCAGAGCACCTCCCCGACCCACCCTACCGTGTGCCATATTGACCCAACTGCCACTTGGATTTGGACTTCAGTTTCCATACCCAAGCCCCCTGGCCCTCAGTGGAATGGAACCCTACCTGCTCTCCTTCGTACGGCTCCATCCCCTGAGGAGTTGGACCCCTTCCTTCTCCTGGGGCCCTGCTGGGAGTGAGAGACCAACCACCCTGAACCTCAACACCACTCTCCACCCAACTTGCCCACTCCTGCTCAGCTCCACCCACTGGGCTCTGTCGCTCACGGCACCCAGGAGTGGCAGAGCGCACCTTTAGGCCTGGACTGGTCGTGCTCCTCAGTCTCTGTCCCCTTCACCTCTACACTCACTCCCACAGGTAAGGTTCCAGAAGCCACACCTGAACGGTGCCAGAGAGGAGGAAGGGCTGAGAGACTGCTCTGTGAAGAGGGCCAGATGGCCACCATCTTCCCGCCTGGCTCAGGGACCTGAGCTGGCCTCACCTTCTCCAGCTGATGGACACCCTCTTCCACGCAGCAGATGGAGGCCAGTGTGCGGAGCGCCTGGGGGTACAAGCACCGGAGGTTGTCCTGTCTGCAGACCTTGAACAGGGCTACAACACCTCCTTCCTGTCAAGAGAAAGAAAATGTCATGTGACCTCACTGTGGCACCTCCCCTGGGGCTGCCTGGAGAATGACTGACGCCCACACCCAGCAGACAGCTTCTGGGTCCACACTAGCGCTCACACACTCACAGCCATGCTACAGTCACGGCTGGCTCCACAATGTCCCTCCTGCTAATCCAAGACGGAGCAGGGATTCCTCAAATGCTTCTGGGGTTTAGAGGCCAGGGCCAGGTTCAACACCATTCAACATAGCTCTCATATCCCTGGCAACTCCTTTCAGCAGTGCCCCTACAAAGCAGACCTTGAGCCATCAGAAACATGAAGGACTTCAAAAAGATTGTGGAAAAATCAAAGGAAAAGAGAAGCTGATATTAGTGCAAAAATATTTGCAACTGGTACATAGATTTTTTAAAAATATCCATGTTCCACAAAATGTTTGAAACCACTTGTAGGTCCTAGAAACAGCTCTGAAGCAGGTGGAGGGAAGTGAAGAGTAGACGCCCAGCACTGGCTGGCTGTGCCAGCAGTCAGTCACCTTGCTGCTCCTCACACCTCCTTCCTCCAACTGCCGGGGGAGGCAGACAGAAGGAGACTTCTATTTACACCAATAACAATTTATTGCTGCTGCATGATGGGAAAAAATGAAGTCCAGGTGGGTAAAATTATTCACCCAAAATTCATATTATCCTTATTTTGACTCCTTTACTCTTGCTTGTAAAAATGAATCCTTTAGTGTGAGCAGAGAGTTCTCCTTCTGCGAGAGCTGTTTATGCAAACTTCTTTACCTTCTCTTGGGAAGTCTTGCCAGCAGTGTTTCCCACCAGGCAGAACTCTGGGAGTGTGGGGCTCATCTCCCGGCTGCCCAGCTGCGAGTCTGAATTATTCTGTAATAATCACTTGGAGCCTGCCCTAGCTCTGTGAGCACAGGTTACACAGGCGACTCACCACGGTGCCCGGCAAAGCAGTGACAACACTACCTCGCTATCCAGGCTGAAGTTGGACCTGCGTGCCTGGGTACTCACCTTGTCACTCCTGGGTCTAGCTAAGCCCATTGCACCTGTTCCCAAACCAAGAAAAATGTTGTAGACAGCAGGTGAATTCAGCACCATATCATCCTCTGACACATTTCTGAGAGCTCTGTCAATGGAAACATGTCTCGAGTATCTACTGCGCGCCAGTCCTGTGCAAATGACTGAACCAATGGTGAATGAGCAATGGGAAGAGAAAGCAGTGACCACCACGGCCCAGCAGAGATTCACCAAAATCACTCCACTCCAGATCTTCCCTCCCCTCCACTCCAAAAAGACCGGACCTTAGGCCTTTTCCTTCAAGGAGTTTATCTCCTGATCACAACAAGGATCAAGAGGAAGGCGTCCAGCTCGGGGTGTGGGATGATTATTTCTGACATTTTAAAATCAAGTAAGAGAAACATTTCTGTCCCTACTTTCCTCCTTGATCTGAAGGGAAAGAGGACATAGCTTAGGGCTGGTAAAGTCATCCCTGCATTCAACAATACTAACAATACTAGTGCTTACTACATGCCAGACCTTGGGCCAGGCCCTGAGCAAGACTGCCTCAGTCGCCATCCTCGCTGAGCTCATGGACTGGCAGTGCAGGCGATCTGAAAAGCAGGCACAAAGCTGTGTGTAAGGGCAGTGAGGGGCAGGTTCCAGGAGCCCCTAGCATAGGCTTAGAGGTTTGCAGAAGGATCAAGACAGAGACACTCAGATTTCCAATGCACATCATTACTCCAGGAAAAATCAGTCTGCCACATGATAAGACTCTTACCCTCTGACCCTTTGTTCCACAATCCTTTATCCCTGCCTTCCTACCTTCTCATGGGACGGCTGCTGAGGATCCCACACAAAGACCCTGCTCAGCGAGCCACGGGAGCCAAATCAAGTTATTCTTTAGAGAAGGAAAGAAACAGGAATCCCAGCATCTCCCCAGCCTGCCTCTGGTCATTAAAATAAGCTCCTTCCATATGAAAATACATGTGAATGTATATTATATATGCATGTATTTAATCATATAAATTATATAAATATTTTGTTGATAGGTACTGATGGATAGCTACATCTGGAACAAAGAACACAAGGCCCAAAGCCAGGATGGATGTGGCTGCCTCCTTGGCTCAGGAGGCACTGAGCCCAGCACAACTATATTTAAGCCTCTGCACACACTGCACTAGACCCCCATTGTGTCCTTACCCAAGACTGTGAAAAATGTCCTTCTTAGCATTTTAGTTTCTGGGAGAGGAAAAGGGAAAGTCTGGGGCCTAGACTAAGAAAGACCAGATTATTATGGCCCAAAACCTGGCTTTGCTGCTTGTTAGCTTTGGCTAAAAAGAGGGTGATGACTGCGCAACTGGGGGAGCAACTGAGTTGATGTATGTGGAAGACCCTAGAACCTGGTTCAAGGCAGAAGCAGGCAATGGAGGGTTTCCTAGCTCCAAGGGCATCTTGTGCCCTCACAAAAGGAGTCCCGAGGGCTAGGATAGGTGAGAGAAAGGCAGTAATGTGGAGTGGCCTCATGGACCATTCTGAAGCCCCCATTCAGGACGCAAGAGCAACAGTCAGCCTTGAGTACAGCTGGGAATCTCCTGAGCTAGCAGAATCACACTGCTGGCTGGAGCTTGTTTAATTTTATAGAAAGCTCTGGGCTCAGAGCCCAGCTATATAACAGTATGAATTATTCACACAGGCTTAGGATGAGCTGTCAGAGCGCTGGAAGAGGCCACTTGTGGGGTATCTATTCTGGTGGTGGCAAGAATAACCAAGGAGAGAGAGTGGGGGTGGGGGGGCAACTTTGAGACAGCACACGGAAGGGAAGGTCTGGGGTCTGGGGTCATTCCGTGACCTTCAGAGGAACCCGAGAGCTAGACAGGACAAGCCTGAGAAAGGCTGCCCAGAGCCTCTCCTAGAAATAGAGAAAGGCCCCAAAGAGGTAGATGCTGGAGGCTGCTGTGAGGGACTGCCCCTCATCTGTCACAATGTTGGGACAGCTCCTGAGCATCCAAGGTGGGGATTACGCATCGGGCATGCCAGGGACGCCAGCTCCTGCCTCGCCGTCAGGACTGGACACCAGCACAGTGATTCTGTGTGAGGAACTCCCCTGGCCATCTTCCAGGCTGCAAAGATGAGAGGCACCACAGAATCTCCTCCCCGCTTCAAGTGTCTGTCCATTCTAACCCGAGAACCAGAGACACAAGGGTCAGTCGACCTGGGTAAAATCCCAGCTCTGCATGAATGTTTATGACCTTGGACAAGTTGTTTGCATTCTTTCCGAGACTCTCTTTTCCTCAACATGAAGACGGGAATTGGAATTCTAGCGCATCAAAGAAGTGTTGAAAGGATGATCTGAGATAAGGATTGGAGAGCTTAGCACAGTGCTTGATACACGGGAAGACTCAGTAAATAAGGAAGGATGTAGAAGAGGGAGGAAAGCAAGGGTAGGGAAGCGGTGAGAAGGGAGAGGTTGGTAGAAGGAAGAGATGCCCCCAGGAGCAGCTCAGAGCATAGCTGTGGTTGCCAAACAGCTGCTTCAAATCCCACTCTGTCCCTTGCTAGATGTGTGATCTTCTCACTGCCTCAGCTCCTCCACAAATATAGGATGGGGGTAGACATTGCACTACAGCAGACTGTTAGAAGGTTTAAAGAAGTAAAGCACTTAGAACATTATATGACACATAGTCTAATAAAAATGTTGATTTGGGGGCCAGCCCTGTGACGCGGTCCCAGCTCCCTTCTAATGCACCTGGGAAAGCAGCAGATGATCCACATGTTTGGACCCCTGCCTTCCACATGGGAGACCCAGATAAAGATCTGTGTGTGTGTGTGTGTGTGTGTGTGTCCCTCTCTCCCTCTGTAATTCTTTCAAATGACTAAATACATCTTTTTAAAAAAATGTTGAATTTGTTATTACCACTGCAACTTACTACAGCCATTGTCACCTCTGTCACCATCAGAGTTGACCACTTCCAGCTTCAGAAGTCTCAGATTGGCCGTTCTCCCTCTCGCCTGCCGGAGCCTCCCCAGCCTAGCCTTCGCCAGCCTCACACCTGGAGTGGACCAGCTGCTCACTGTGTGCTGCATCGGAAGCAGAGGAAGAGGATTCGCTGATGAAGAGGGAGATGGAGTTATTGTATAGGGGTTTCGCTTGGAAAGAGGAGGACTCTAGCTTTTAGACAACTGGGCTGGTAGCCTAGAAAAGGCATCAACTCCAAAACCAGATAAATCTGGTTTCAAGTGTCAGTTGCTCAAGACATCCAACTGCTGTGTCTTGGAGTCCATATCTGTAAAACAGGGTCACCGATGCCCATGTCAGAGAGAGGCGTGTAAACGACATGACACCTGTGTGGAAAGTGCCAGAACAGGGCTTGGCACAGGGAAGCAGCCAACACACAGTAATTCGTATTGTCCTTGTTGTTCATGTTCAGTGAGACGCACGTATCCCTGCGGCAGGCTCTGCGAACACTCAAAGGATCATTCCAAATCTTTAAACAAGTACTGTTTTTGAGAGCTGGGAGCTAGTGTTAGGGCAAACAGGAGAATTAAGTAGCAGAGGTAGGGGTGGAATAGTAGGAGGATTAAAGAGAGAAATGGAGAAAACAGTGAGTATATGAGGAAAATAGATCACTTACCTTTATTTTGAAAAATGATGGAGAATAAAACTAAAATTACATCCTGAGTTTTCCCATAAAAGCGCCAACCAAGCCAGGCAGCATGGTGGATTTGGAAGGCCTCTTAAATACCACAAAGCCCAGCCTCCTCAGATCATGAACCGGGAGCCAGTGCCCCAGTGGCCCAGCCAACCACCTCCAGTGAGTTCAGGACAGAGGTGGGATGAGCGCTGCTCTCAGGCCCCATCCCCAGGCCTTTCCACAAATGCAAATGTTTAGGATCAGCGCTAAAGTGGAGCTAAGTCCTCGTTCCCAGAGGAGGCTACCTCTGAGGGAAACACCAGCTTTGGCTCAGCCCTGAACAAGTGTCCCTTCTCTGCTTTTCTGAAAGAGGAGCGCAAAAGCAGGCAGGGGGAGCTGTCTACATCAAGCAGCACTTGAGATGAGATCTTGAGTGCCCAAGCCCTGGAACAGAACCCCTGCAGCTTCAGAGCCTGTGCCCAGCAAAGTTTCATCCCGAGGAACCTCAGAGATCTGTGCTTTTCAAAAAGTATAAAACACCTTCAGGTCCCATGCTGCCATTCAGAGTAAGTCTCACCTCTCCCAGGCCTCACATCCACACCTGGAGCCCAAGCCCAGCCAGTGTTTGCAACTCATTTTGGAAGGAAAATACAGTCATCATTTCAAAAGAAATTCAGCTAGCTTCCTTTGAAGTCAATCACTAAACTGATGCTGAAGGGTTGAAGCAATTGTCCGTTCCACCACAGCACCAGGACAGACCTGCACAGGGTCAGCATGCAGGAAAAAACTGAGAGGAAGAGGATGCAACCAGAGTTGAGATGAACTAGGGCAGGCATCTGGAGCAAAGCCACCAGTAAGGACATTTCTATCAATGCGTCTGGGATCGAGTCCCAGATCCACTTCCAATTCCAGCTTCCTGTTAAGGTACACTCTGGGAGGCAGCAGGTGATGGCTCAAATACATGGGCTCCTGCCACTCATGTGAGAGACCCAGATTGAGTTCCAGGCTCCTTCCTAGCTTTGGCTTGGCCCAGGCCCAGGTGTTATAGGCATTTCAGTAGTGAACCAGGTGATGAAAGATCTCTCTGTGTGTCTGTGTCTGTGCCTGTCTCTGTCTCTCTAAAACAAAGTGAAAATAAAATATTTTTTAAAAGAAGATTTAAAATGAATTTCTGAAATGGAGCCTGTTCCAGTTCAGCTTAAACTCTTCTCTCTTTTCATTTTTCTTGGAAAAGCCCTTGCATTTCCATTTGCAAGGAGGAGGAAAGCACTGGACAGGCACAGACTAGGTGGATTTAGGAACCCACGTGGTTTTGTTTTTTTTTTGTGGTTTTTTTTTTTTTTTTTTTTGATAGGCAGAGTGGACAGTGAGAGAGAGAGACAGAGAGAAAGGTCTTCCTTTGCCGTTGGTTCACCCTCCAATGGCCGCCACGGCTGGCGCGCTGTGGCTGGCGCACCACACTGATCCGATGGCAGGAGCCAGGTACTTATCCTGGTCTCCCATGGGGTGCAGGGCCCAAGTACTTGGGCCATCCTCCACTGCACTCCCTGGCCACAGCAGGCCTGGGAGAGGGGCAACCGGGACAGAATCCAGTGCCCCGACTGGGACTAGAACCCGGTGTGCCGGCGTCGCAAGGCAGAGGATTAGCTTAGTGAGCCACAGCGCCGGCTTGAACCCACGTTGTCTTGATGCCTGCTGAGCACTGGCCAGCGTCCTTTGTGACAAAGTGACAGAAAGTCAAGTTCTCCTCCTGTTTTTCCAGAGCATATAGCCAGATGCTGAGGTTCACAGGATTCCAAGGGGCATAGGAGGAGAATGAGGTGCTGCACAGGGCCCTCAAGAATAAATGCCTCTGAATTTCAGGTATTTTTGTCATCTTTGTAGACCCATTCCTCCTATTTCTCCTGATAACACTACCACTAATGATTATGTGGTACAAGTTGTTATGGGCAAAGGATTAAGAGATATGGAGGGGAAGGCTCAATAGGCTAATCCTCTGCCTGCGGCGCCGGCACACCAGGTTCTAGTCCCAGTCAGGGTGCCGGATTCTGTCCTGGTTGCTCCTCTTCAGTCCAGCTCTCTGCTATGGCCTGGGAGTGCAGTGGAGGATGGCCCAAGTGCTTGTGCGCTGCACCTGCATGGGAGACCAGAAGAAGCACCTGGCTCCTGGCTTCGGATCAGCGCAATGTGCTGGCCAAAGTGCGCTGGCCACAGCGGCCATTGGAGGGTGAACCAACAGCAAAAGGAAGACCTTTATCTCTCTCTCTCTCACACTGTCCACTCTGCCTGTCAAAAAATAAAAATAAAAATAAAAAAAGAGATATGGAGGGGGCTTAATCTTTTTCCTTTGAATGGGGTCAGAAACATTACATAATCTTATACACAGGATGCCAATGGGCCAGATAAATCAAAACGCTATACATCAGGTGGTCTTTGTTTTAGACTTCGCCTGTGGATACCAGGGGTACCACAGCTATCAAGGAAGGAAGGACATATGGAGATAGGGAAGGAGGTTTGATACATATGATAGACACTGCAGAAAGAAAGATGGAAGATCTAGGGGCAACAGCCATCAAGTTAGAAATGAAATCAGAGGGGCTACCCACCAAGTCCCAGGTAAGGAAGGTGACCCTCTTAAGGCTAGGCAGCAAGCTAATGCTGGAGCCAGAACAGACCTTCCAAGCCAGCAGTTCCCACCGAACAAGGGATCTCCCTCTCCTTTCCCCTGGGCCTGCCATTTGGCCCCAGATTATGCAGCTCACCTTAGCTATGATGCGACACAAGGCAGCCCCCTCTTGGGTCAGGCTGAACAGGTTCCCTGTGCTGCACTCCGTCGTATAGATGTTGTCTGAGGCATCGATTTTTCTCACCAGTGCCTAAGAAGAAAAAGAAAAATCAGCCTATTACATACCCATCTGTGCTCTGATCATCTTCCTTAATGGAATACCCAGTGGACCCATGCCCCCAACAGTCCCCATGGAATCTACACTCCTGCTTCCTCTACTGCCCCGCGGTGGGGCAACAAGGCTCTGGCTTTGGGAAAGGCATGGACCTCGGTGAGGTCTGAGCTATATTTCAGAGATCAGGGCTCATTTCAAACCTAAGGGCTTAAGCAACACATTTGGAATGTATTTTCAGTTCAACTGAAAATCGGCTCTCAATACCTGCAGACTCACCGGATTATTTTCTTGAGCTACTCACTCCTAACAAGAACAGAAAATATCAGTGAAATAAACCATCATATTGAATACCAATGGGGCTGGAGCTGTAGTGCAGCGGGTTAAAGCCCCAGCCTGCAGCACCAGCATCCCATATGGGCACTGGTTCGAGACCCAGCTGCTCCACTTCAGATCCAGCTCTCTGCTATGATCTGGGAAAGCAGTAGAGGATGGCCCAAGTCCTTGGGCCCCTGCACCCACGCGGGAGACCTGGAAGAAGCTCTGGCTCCTGGCTTCAGATTGGCGTAGCTCCAGCCATTGTGGCTATCTGGGGAGTGAACCAGAGATGGAATACTTCTCTCTCTCTGCCTCTCCTTCTCTCTCTGTGTAACTCTGACTTTCAAGTAAATAAATAAAAATCTTTAAAAAAATAAAGAAAACCAATGAGTTGTCACAGCTATGACCAAAGAATCTGCTCAGTTTGGATGGCTATTATCCAATGGTAGACTCCATCTGAGTTACAGAGTGGGGTTAAGTCAAGAAAATCACTCTCCTGTGGCTTCTGTTCAGGTGACATCTCTATTAGGTGTATAGTCAGGCCAACTTAGCAACATGGGAATCCTGTCCAAGGGTGGGTAACTCAGTGAGGAATGCCATCCTGACCAAGGATCCAAAACTAATGGTTGGAGGCACTGGGAGTGACTGAACTAGGACCAACAGAGGTCTAGAAGAAAAGCAAATGCAAGATTCACTAACAAATAAGATATGAAGATTATTCCTAGAAGAGCTTTGCTAATTTCTGGAAAAAAACCTTATCGTGTAACTTGAGACCACTTCATAATCAGCCATTTGCTTTGGAGCATGTGATTTATTGATTGTAAATGAGTCCTGCCTGCTAATTAATACGAGTTACTCAAGTTTCTCCTAGGGGGTGTGCAGATAGAGGCTGGGAGACTGCCTTTGAAACCATCAGATGGGGAAGTTAAGAATTCCTTAGCTGGGTACTCTGAGCAGCCACGTGTGCCATTTCAGCTGCCATGTTTATTTTTTAAGATACAATGATGGATTTGTTTTTAAACAACCATGGTGTAATGGAAATGACACCTAAAAGGAAATGAGGACCCCAGGGTTCTACTGCAAAATAGGATGATTATAGATAATGTTAAATCAGGTGGTATTTCTCTGTTTTAGAAATAGAGATGTTTTCACTGCAAAGAAATGCTCAGATAAAAAGATTTTCTTTGATTGGACATTGAACAGTGTACATATGTAATAAAACATCGCATTGTACCCCCATAAATATGTACAATTTGTATATGCCTGTTCAATTTTTTAATTTAAAAAAAAAGGAGATCTGAGTTCTAGTCTTAGCTTGCCTTTAACACACTTTGCTAATGGAGTGTGCATATGATTCAAATCCTGGTTCTGCTACTTCTGTTTATATGTCCTGGAGCAAGCAATTTAGCCTTCCTTTGCCTCAGTTTTCTTATACATAAAATGGTGGAAACAACAGTGTCTACCTCTTAAGGTACTTGTGCCCATTTCTTAAGACTGTTAGTTTATACAAGGGACTTCTACTGGTAGACACAAATATTAGCATTTACTATTCTGTGATCTTGGGCAGTTGAGATAAATCCCATATACTTTGGCTTTCTCAGTTGTAAAGTGGTTAAACTTAAAGGAGTTGAGGTTCATAATAAATGGTTTTATCTCTTCTTTATTTAAACTCATAGGAATTCCTCACATGCATAGCATGCTAATCCTCTACATATAGAAGCCCAAGATTAAACATGTATTTACTCAAAGTACATTAAATATAAAAATCATACCCAAAGATTAAGCAGAGGCCCTTGAAGGAGAGTCAATAAAAGGTAAAATTAATAACTGAGACTTGTCACTACAACCCTCTACAATGAACATACTTCTTAGAATCTCCCCCATCATTACTGTAAGCAATCACACATGTGATACTTATGCTCATGTAAAAATGCAGATTTCATATATTGGGGTCCTGTACCTAAATAGTAATTACCTAATGTTCCTGATTAGTGTTTGCACTTGAAGCAAATTAGCATTACATTAAACAATTCAAACCCAATGTCTTTTGCAATCAGCTGCTAATATTAGACCATTTATGTCTGAGAATAAATTCATGTTAATGTCTATACACATATATACACTAATTACACCTCAGATATGCCTCATTTAATCAGATCTCTGACAAAGAAAAGTTGTAAGCATCTTTTCCAGAGCTTACATTTGGAAAGATACAAGACCAAACGCCCTACTGAAACACCACAATCTGTCAGAATAGGAAGGGTCAAAGCTTTTGTCCAATCCTCATTTCAGTTAGTGAAACTGACACCCAGAAACTTGATCTGGGGTAAAGCTAGACCCTGACCCCTCTGTACCTGATTTCTTATTTTCAGAGGTCAGTGAATCCATCTCCTTCCATACCTGCAGGACACTTCATGTCACCTGCACTAGCAGATGGAGGCCTCGAGGCAAGGATAACTAGCTGGCCGCATTAGTGGTTCTTACCAGTAGGAGAGTGGTTCTCCACCCTGGCCTCTCATTCCCATCTAACATTCTGTGCAGGAGTCACTAGGGCTCCTCCAACAGAAAGCATAGCTGACTGGAAACCCTGCTGCTCCTGACCTTGTGTTGGATCTTTCCCTGAGCTACTCCAGCTGTGACTGAGAATAGCAGGACTGGGCCAGGAGCCTCTTCTCTCAGGTGGCCGTGGCTCGGTTCTCTGTCTGCTTCTCTTCCTGCTCCACCCCTCCTTCCTCCTTTTCTTTCTGAGATGTCAGGCCTGCAATGTGCTTTCCAAACTGCAACTGCTCTCTCCCTTCTTCCTTCACAGGAATTGCCTACCCATTCCTGTCCTGATCTCTGTTTCAAACTAATACAGTCTCGAAAAATCAAGATCCTTTTTTTTTTTTTTTGCCCCCAAGAAATCAAGGAGACATTGGAGAAGTTTCAAAAATATGCTTCATCAGTCTGTATCATGAGAAGAGTGGTGAAAGAATGAAAACAAAATAAATAGCCTGGATAATAAATGTTATTAAAAGACAAACTAGGCAGATATGAGACAAACAAGTGAAAAAATTCTAAAGACCAGGACCCAGGAGTAACAGGAGTTAAGGAGATGTGTGCACTCTAACTGCTCTAAGTAAAAAATTGGAAAAGAATGATCTGTTTTGTTTCACAATAAGAAAAAACTGCAACCCAGTAAAATCTGTCTGACATGAGGTAGGCTCTCAGAGAGCAGGTGGAAATGAGTTCCTTGGAGGATCCTGGAGAATATTATGAAGCCTCCCCCTAACGCCTAAGATAGAGAGTCCATAACCAGACATGGCAGAGCAGCTCATCTATGCAAAGGAGTTCCTAAAATGTGACAGATTAAAAATGGCTACAGTCTTTTCTACTGCTGTAGAGAGATGTGTTCTGATTCTCCTTCCCTTGAATCTTGGTTGGCCTTAATGCCTTGCTTGACCAACAGAAGCTAACACTTGGCTGACATAATGTCCTAGGATTCCCAGGGCCAGATCATAATAAGCCTTGAAGCTTCTACCCAGGCTCCCAGGCTCCTTGAAACAGCCTTTTGGGAGCTATGAATTGACAGGTAAGAAGTCTGATAACTCTGAAACAGTCAAGTTGGAAATATATATATATATACACACACACACACACACACAGACACACACACACATATATGTATACATACAAGATCTCTATCAATACTCTTAGCTGAGACCAGCCTTCTAGCCATGCCCTCCAAGGTGCCATACATGTGAGTAAAGCTGTATAGGCCTCTACAAACCATCTTCCAGCTAAATATCACCTCTGCTGATGCCTCATGGAATGGAAATCACTCAGTCAAGCCCTATCCAAATTCTTGGCCCTTAAAACCATGGAATAGAATTAAAGTGGCTAATGTTGGGATTTCTTTGTTGCTGTTTATTCTGTTTTTGTTTTGTTTTGATGCTTTAAACGTGTTCCAGAACATAGGAACAGACTACAGAGATCAGCATGCATAATGCTAAGGCTTACTGGATACACATCCAGAGGAAAGGTTTTGGATGTGGGAACATAACATCATTTCTGTCTCAAGAGAACATGCTGGAGAAATACATGAAGTTTGGACATACTAAAGAAGAGCTAGACAAAACAACAGCCTAATCCAAATGTAGATTAGTAAATGTTCAGATGGGAAAATATCTTTTGTGTGAGGATATCTAATTTAGGAAGATAAAAGTGGTTAAGATTTGTTGGATTTGGAGGAATTTGGAAGACCCAGAACTTAAGTGATTCCATTTGTCTCAATGAAGGAAATCCTAAAGTCTTTAAGAGTTGCTAGAAAAATAAAAGAATGTGCCAGAATGCAAAGGGAAATATAAGTGGGGAAAGCTGCTCAGATCCAGATCCATTTACTCTATGAGCCAGACAGAAAGACATCCATGTAAGAAGGAAAGTAAAACATTAAAATTCAACTGAGTTCCTCTTAACAATTTTTTTAAAGATTTACTTATTTATTTGAATGTCGGAGTTGGAGAGAGAAAGCAGGGAAGAGAGAGAGAGAGAGCTCTTCTGTCCACTGGTTCATTCCTCAGATGGCCACAGTAGCCAAGGCAGGGCCGGGATGAAGCACGGACAAGGAACTCACACATGGGAACAAGTGCCCAAGCTTCTTTTAGGTCTCCCACGTGGGTTCA